TGTTCAGGCCGCAGGGACACATGGGGATTATTTCAGGCCCATTTCAGGTTTCTACAACCACCTCTGTACTGGATCCTTGCCCCTCTTGGCAGAGAAAAGCCCGCAAGGAAGGGATAACCAGCTGCATCAGGGAGGCCATCAATGCCTCTTTGTGAGAGAGGGTGGCCCCAGGCTGCTTTAAAAATATCACTTCTGAAGAACTCGTCCCTTGACCCCAAAGAACTGAACATCTTCAGGCTGGTAGCAAACTTCCATTTCCTGGGCAAGGGTCTAAGGAGGGTGGCTGCTAATCAACTCAAGACACTCTTGGATGAGACTGATTATCTGGATCCATTTAATTTCAGATTGAAGCCTGGCTTTGGCACAGAAACAGCCTTAATTGCCCTTCATGATGACCCATGCTGGGAAAGAGTCAGTGGGAGCGCAACCCTGTTGATACTACTGGACTCTCAGTGGCTTTCAGTCCCATCAACCATGGTGTCCCTCTGGGGTGACAGTCTGAGTTGGGCGTGGGGGCACTACATGGTTCCACCCCTACATGGAGGGCTGTCTCCAGAAGGTGGTGCTTCAGCCCCATGGATCCTCTGGCATGGCGTTCCTCAGGGGTCTGTGCTGTCCGACATGCTATTCAACAGCTACATGAAACTGCTGAGTGGGGTCATCTGGAGTTTTGGAGTGTGTGGCCATCAGTAGGGTGATGACATGCAGCCCTCCTACTCCTTTTCATCGTCAGCAGGTGAGACTGTAGATGTGCTAAACCAGAGCCTGGCAATGACAGTGAACTGGCTGAGAGCCAACAAAATGAAATTCAGTCCAGACAAGACTGAGAGGCTCTGGTGGGTGGTTCCTTTGTCCAGATGGGGTGGTATTCAACCTGTTCCAGACTGTTGCAGTGAAGGAGCAGGTTCATAGCTTGGGAGTGCTCCTTGATACATCTTTGCCACATGAGGGTTGGGTGGCATCAGTGGCTTGGAGTGCCTTTTATTAGCTTTGGCTTCAATATTCTACTCTTTGATAATCTCTAAACTGCATTATTGCAGCGTATTCTACATAGGTTTGCCCTTGAAGACAGTTCAGAAGTAGAAGCTGGTGCAAAATGCAGCAACCAGATCAATAACCAGGACCCACAAGCCCAAACATACAAGACCTGTTTTAGCCCCCTTGCATTGGTTGCCTGTGTGCTTCCAGTCCCAATTCAAGGTGCTGGTTTTCACTTGTAAAGTTTTACATGTCTTAGGAGCACAATACCTGTTGGAGCAGCTCTCTCAGCCCTGATCTACCTGAACACTACACTCAACCACTGGGGCCTTCCTCTGAGTGTCAACTCAGTGTAGAAATGTGCAAGGCAGCAACAAGGCAGCTTCTCAATGGTGGCCCCCACCATGCCAGCTGGCATGGAATCTGTCATCGTTTTGGCACCAGGTGTTGAGAGCCCTCTTTTCTAAGGCTTCTAAAGACGTACTCAACCAGCCAAGGATTTCAGGGGGATCACTGGGTGTTTTGCAGAGTCACTCTTTTTTAAATTCTTTGTTATTGTCTGTTTTACCCGTTTTATATGTTTAAAACTTTTAAATATTTTTCCTGATTTTACAATACTTTTATTCTATTTTTATCAACTGTTTTTATGGTCTATTTAAACTACCCAAAGAGCTTCAGTTGTGGGGTGGATAGAGATGAATGAATGAAAGAATGAATGCACTTGAATGAGAGTGCCCTGCTTTCACAACCTTTGTCACTGGTAGCTAATAGAATCTAGTTGGGAGTGGGCAGATGGTGAGCCAGGAAATAATTCATGCCTGTTTGTGGGAGGGAGTGGTCCTGGTATGCACAAAGGGGACAACACTGGTAAGGGTACAACACTTTGTAAGTAAAACATCTGAATGTGGAAGCTTTGAACAACTATACACTGGTCTTGAATTATCCCTTCCAGGGAAAGTTTCTTGAGTGGGTGGTCACCAAACTGAGAAAGATTTCAATCAATCAATCCTTTATTCGGTCATTGACTAGCCAATAAATAAAACACAAAATGACACTTAGTTAAAATAAGAAATATACAATACTGATAAAATTGTAGTAATTAAAATAAGCATTCTGATAAGGAGATAAAATCAGAATGATCAGATAAAAGTAACTTAAGGTAAAAAGAATCGGAATAACCAGGATATTTAGAAAGGAGTGGGGATAACAATTCCTGGTGAGCACCTGTATAGAGAGGGCAGTAATGAATAACATGCTCCACTGATTCAATTATTTCTCCCCCACATGAGCACAGTCTCTGTTCAGGGGGTGTTTTTCAATATCTCCCTTCAGTAATAGCTGTTGGGAGGGCACGGAAACTGGCTAGAGATAAAGCTTTTCTAAATTTGGGGATAGTTACGCTGCTGAGATATCTAGCTGGTTGGAAAAGATGTGTGGAATAGTTCAGGAAGGTATTTCTGGATAAAACTGGATAATCTGTTTGTAGCTCTAGATCAATGGCTTGCTGTTTAAGTTCTGCTAACGCCTGTTCATAGCCCATTGAGGAGATAGCTGGCCATGGATAACTGTACAACAGCAATTTGGCCTGTATTGCCTGGCTCCACAAACTCTGAAAGCTGTCGGTCATTGTTAGAGGGACCAAGCCAGCTGGAACAAAGAGGAGCTTGAGCGAGTAAGGAAAGATGTGAATCCAAGCCAAAGTTTCAATTTTAAGAAGGCTGGATTTGCATTGTAGGACCGTGTTTGCGACGCAGCATGGTGCTTGGAAGATAGTCCTCAGGAACTTAGACTGAACTCTTTCCAAGGGAAGAAAAGACCTGTAGGGTCCCAATTAGGCTCCAAACAGGAGCTGGGCTCAAATCTTAGATGAAAAGACTTATTGCTGTGGGTATATGCTGTGCACCTTCACAGAAATAAATATTTTGTAAGGCTGACACTGCTTTTGGTGCATTTAAGATGATGTAGTCGGCATGAGATTTGCGGTTACCCATAGCATGAAAGACAATCCCCAGATATTTGAAGGATTTGACTTGCTCAATTATATGGTTATTAAGTCACCAAACATCCTATCTTAGGGCACTTGGCAAAATTCACAACTTTGGTTTTAGAGTAATTAATTTCTAAACCATCTTGCTGGCAATGCTCAACTAGTACATGGAGTGCCTGTCTCAGGCCAACCTGTGTTTGAGAAAGTAGCACAGCATCATCTGCATATAGAAGAGCAGATATGTGTGTTGAGACAGATTTTCTGAAGTCTTTTGAGTCAAGATTCCAATTTGGGTTAGTAGTGCCTCAGTTAACCCTTGGTATACCTGCCTTGATTGCTTGGTATGATGACCTTTGCTGGAAGAGGCACAGGTGGAGCATGTCCCTGTTGATAACCTTTGATCTCTCTGTGGTTTTTGATACCATCAATCATGGTATTCTCCTTCAAGGCACTGTCTTGCTGTGGTTCCACTCCTGCTTGGTGAGACATTTTCAGACAGTAATGTTTGAAGTATATTGCTTGGCCCTCTGGAGCCACCAGTGTGACAGTTCCACAAGGTTTGATCGTGTCCCCCGTGTTGTGTAACATCTACAGGAAACTGCTGAGTAGGGGCATATGCAGTTCTGGAACTGATCATGAGCATAAAGATGATATTTGTTGTTAGGTGCTATCAAGTCATCTCTTACTTATGGCAACCCTATGAATGAAAGATCTCCAAAATGTCCTCCCCATGACAGCCCTGCTCAGCTCTTGTAAATTCAAGGCTGTGACTTCTTTCACAGTCAATCTATCTCATATTTGGGTCTTCCTTTTATTTCCCCCTTCTGCTTTCAACTTTCCCTTGAGTGATTGCCTTCTCTGGTGAGTCTTGCAGTCTCATGAAGTGCCCAAACTATGACAGCTTCAGTTTTGTCAATTTTCCTTCCAGGGAAAGTTCTGGCTTGATTTGATCTAGGACCCACTTGTTTGTCTTTCTGTCAGCCCAGGGCATTTGCAAGCTCTTCTCCAGCACCATGTTTCTCCAACACATCAGTTTTCTTCTTGACGGCTTTCTTCACTCTCCAGCTTTCACACCCATACATAGTGAAAAGGTGACATTCAGCTCTGTTTTTCCTTTACATCATGAGCAGCTTTGACAGTGAATTTGCTGAGCCTCAATAAGGGACTGAATAATGAAGTGAAGCGCAATCCAGATAAGATGGTGATAGTGTTAATGGGTGGTTCATAAGTCTGGATGGATGGATGTAAGCTGTTCTAGATCCAATCCTATTTCCCCTGAAGGAGCAGGTATGCACTGAGAAGGTAATTTTGGATCCATCCCTGTGTTTGGAAGCACAAATAATCCCCGTGGCACCAACTGTCTTCTACCTGCTTTGGCTGGTGCCCCAGATGGATGAAAAAAGCCTGGCCTCACTAGTCTGTGCCTAAAAAGGTGAGGTTAGATTATTGCAGTGCACTTTGTGTTTGAAAAACGCCTTTGTACCTTTGGAGATGGCACCAAAATTTGCCAAAGTTACAATATTTGGTGACCAGACTTTTGACCAGAACTTGACATTTCAAACATAAAACTCTAGTTCTAGCCTACCTGCACCGACTTCCAGTTTGTTCCCAAGCCTAATATAAAAGCTCATGCACTACCAATTTTGCCACCTATTGTTGTTGTTGTTCCATGTTGTCAAGTCATCTCATGCTTATGGTTACTTTATGAGTGAACATCCTCCAAAATCTCCAGTCCTTGACAGCCCTGCTCAAACTAGCCTTCTTTTAGGCACCAGGCAAATACTTTTTTCCTAGGCATTTTGATATTTTAATGATCCAGCATTGGGTGTTTTTTTATTCACTCCTGTGCTGGACTGGGAATGGCTTTTAATTTTGGACAGGCATTAGGAATAATAGAGAACACATGCAGGGGGTGGGGGGAATATATCAGCCATGTGGGTATGTTGCATCCCTGTCTTACATCATCTTGCTTTTAAGTTTTTCAGTGTGACTTGCAGAAATAAATGCCTATCTATTGCTTTAACATTCACTTTAGATGATACATTGGATGAAGTGACAAGAAAAGAACTTTGCACAGACACTTTCTGTAAAGTTTGTGGGGCTATACTGCAATTTGAATCACAAAGAATAGCACACTATGAGGTAAGGTTTGAGAAGGAACATGTTAGTGATATTTTGTGGTCCCCCATTCCTTAAGCAGGGGAGTTTCTGTGGGTCATCAGTATAAGCTTCATTTCCTTGGGAGGAAAAAGCAACAGAGAGTATGAGTGCTTTGGCCATATCTGTTCCTTTAAAAATAAACCCACTTGAGCAGGCAAACACATAGACAGGTAGTGTTAGCCTTTCAAAATAGCATTTCCCCAAAACAGATAGCATATTTATGGATCTGCCTGCTTACAATCAGTGGCAAAAACTTGGCTGATTGTGCTGATTGTCTTGATGCCTACATTGCTTGACTGCATTCCAACTCCTGCTACTACAAACACATATTCAGACAAAATCTCTGCTCCAGCCTTGACAAGAAACCTCTTCTGTCTCTCAGTGCCAATTAAGTTCTATCAGTACGTGAGCACTAAGCAGCAGGCTAACGAAAGATCATCTCATCACTTGAGACCAATAAAAATATTGCCCTGTATATGATACCTTTTCATGCTGTGCTGCCTTATAGACAAAGAGTTCTTCTGGTCATCCTGGATACATTTTTGTAGGTTGAGACAAGTAAAATTTTTCCAACCCAAGTCAAAGATTTTTCTCAATTTTAATTCCACTACTATGGCACATTAAAATCACGACATTCATACCTGTTGTTAGAAGTTTGGAAGCTTCCCCTATCTCATCAAGATTTGTCAGTGTTGAAGCTTAAGTACCTTCTGAAAGTACTGTGAGGTATTTTGACTAATACTAATGTAAAAATAAGCAGGCTTGGCATGTTCTGAGGTAAGTGTAGTATTATTTATATTTTCATTTTACATTTATTATTACCTATCTGAACGATGTGTATCCACATATCTGATCCATTCCTAGTGCTAAGACTGGCTTACAACATTAAAAACATTACAGTCCAGCAACAATAAATCAACAGAAAAGCAAGTAAGCTGTAAAACCCATGTGGGAACACAGGGATTAGCTTTGAATAAGTGCTGAACATGGCAGATCTATTCCACCAGAATAGAACAATCTTAGCCCAGTGGCAGAAAGTAAAGAAAGGGGCGGCCAAAGGGAGTTCAAGGAGTCAAGACATGGTCACAGGGAAGCCCTTTTTCTACATCCCAGTTGAGTCTCTGGCTTTAGTTGTTGGATATTGGCATCCAGGGCAGAACTTTAGGATCTGGAGAGGCTGGTATGAGAGAAGATGGCTTCTTAGGCTCCTTGGCCCAAGTTACCTGAAGAGGTAATTGCCAACTCTTTGAATAGTGCCTGGAAATGAATTAGCAAGCAGTGCTGCTATTGTAAAATGCATGTAATTTTCTCTTATACCAAGTACCTACTACCACCCTCCATGCTACATTCTGGACCCTACTCAGCTTTCTAGAGCCTCTTCTAAAGCCATGTAGAATACATTGCAGCACTCCATTCTGGTTATAACCTAAGCATGTGCCACCATGGCCAGGTCAAGTATTGAAATGCCCAGTGTTTTTATTCCAAGTCCTGCATCGTGTTTCTTTATAAGCATTTCACCTCGACTTTTTCCTTACTCAGTTTATCTCAAAGAGAAGTGAGAAGTGCCTCTCCATATAAAATGGATGCTTTTGTTTTCCAGGGTAAAAGGCATACACAGAAAGTCCGACTTTACTTACAGATGCACAATGAACAAAAGGAAGGACAGGAACCTGGCAAGCTGAAGGCACAGGTGAATATCTTGTGATATTAGCTCATCTGCTGCATCAGCAATGCCTTTTCCTGGGCTGTGCAACTTGTGGCTCAAGGGCTACACGCTGTCTTCTGCCTATTGCAGTTTGGCCCTCAGCATCATCCAGTATTCCAGATGCATTTGATCAACTCTTCTGTGTGTATGCATATAAGAGATAAGTGATCATGTGGCACAAACATAAAGCACTTGAAAGTCCACCCACCATTGGTTACAGTCCCCAGTTGACATTTCTCATGGATCCACAGATCTTCATACAAAAACTCCTGCTCTGATGATCAATAAGTAATCATTGCACTTTTCAGACTAGGAATATGTGAGGAATCTGTCCGGGGTGGGAATGTATCAGGTTCTCTGGGTTCAGCTCCCCAGACTCAGCAGTTGATTAAATATGTGTATTCTGATTTCAGATGGACCCAGATGTGGACAAAAACACATTCTGCAAGCTTTGCAACATCATCTTCACATCCCCAGTTGTTGCCCAATCACACTACCTGGGAAAGATTCACACCAAAAAACTGAAGCAGTTGGCAGGAGATCAGGCTGTACAACTCACACAAACTGCTCAACCTGGTGAAGATTCAGCATTTTACATCCTCAGTTTGTCAGAGCCAGCGGGTAGAATATTGGTCATTTCAATCAACAGTGAATATTATCCAAGGAACAAAATAAGGGAAGTTTCTTCCTCCTTTCGCTACCTTTCATGCTTCCCCCCATAAATTCATATAATACAGAGGGGGAGAGAGGGAGCAGTGACTACCTATGCTAGCCAGCTATTTGTAGGAGGCCATTTTCAGAATGACCTTTATTCTGTCTGCCAACCAGAGACAAAAATTCACATAAAAATATGCTGAGGACAAGTATTCATATTTCAGGTATAGCATGATAGTGGAAAGCTACAGAAATTAAGTAGATTCTGATCCTGAGGGCTGCTGGTTTCTCTCTCTCTTTTCCTCCTTTGTTGTTGCAGCGTGGAGACTGACCTTTCTCCAATGCATTTGTCTTAGGTCCCTTTGTGACTCCAACTCTGCCAGAGTTGTCTATAGAAAAGGCCTCACAGGACACTGTTGCTGAAGATCCATCTTCATCCTGCACTACTGCACTGGATTTAGATGATCCAGAAAAATACTGCAAGCTATGCTCAGCACCCTTCAACAATCCACTGATGGCCCATCAACACTATGTGGGTAAGAAGCACAAAAGGAATGAAGTGCGTAAGCAACTGATGGCTGAGATAGGAACAGAAGCGATCCCTGCAGAATCCAAGGCCAATGGTAAGCATGCAGCATAGACACACACGCTCCTCTTTAAAGCAGCTGAGTTTGCTTAGAGCCACATGGCCAACAGACTCCTGTGGTACAGGCCTTTGCTGGGCTACAGTGGTTCAGATTCCACTGGGGAAATACATTCTTTTTTTACATATTTTCCATATATTAAAGAGGTTCCTGCATATTGGACGCCAACATAACAGAGAACAGGATTGCTGTGACTTGGCTTGACAGGAACAAGTATTCACACGTTCCCTTTCCTGCTTGCAATCTGAAGCAGGACAGGCCAGCGGCAGAGCCACTGTGTATCATAGTACTCTGTTGTTACTGTTTTAAGTTGTAAGATACCACACACCCAAGAACTATACAGATTTTAACCTGTTGCCTTCTGTTCTTTTAGCAGTCGGCGTGGGCAACTACAAATGCTCTGTATGCTCTCTCAGCCTCACATCCATAGAGATGTACCAGTCTCACATGCAAGGAAATAAGCATCAGACCAAGTAAGCATTCTCCATCTTTGGTTTTGAGTGCTGCTCCAGCCGTGCACAGAAATGAAGTGTGTGCACACACGTGTGTGTGTATATGCATTCGAGAGGCAGCTGGACAGCCCTCTGTCAGGGATGAGTAAACATGGAGTCCTGCACTGAGCGAGGCCTCTTCCAACTCTACAATTCTATGATTCTACACATGTGTGCAAAACATATCTGCAAACTTGTAGTTCAGATGCACAAAAGGAAGGAGGCCTCTCTGCTAAGAATTTGTAATAGTATCTTACAGTTCTTATGCTCTCTTTCTTTAAAAGGAAATGTTTCCTATCTGCTTGGAATGATGGGGTAAGCACCAGTTTGTCCATTCCCTTACTTTATTCTATTTTTTCAAGTTTCGATTAGAAACCTCTGCCACTCTAGATGTACTGGAACTATCATCAACCAGGACCATTGGGCATATCGGTTGGGGTGATGGGAGTTTTATTTATTTATTTAAAGTATTTATATATCCTGCCCTTTACAGTGTCTCAGGGCAGCGATAACATAAATAAGTAAGACACAGCATCCCAAATAATATATAAAATCAAGATTAAAAACAGTACTAACATTTTAAATACTGGGAAAATAAAAGGGTTTTGGACAGGTGTTGAAATGAAAAAAGCCTCAGCACCAAGCACACCTCTCTGGGGAGCCCATTCCAATTTGAGGCACCAAAGGACCCTCACCCCTGTCTGAGCAGCCTTCCTAGAACTGATACTTTGTCCTTTGCTCAGTTTCCCCTTTAGTCCTTGGTTCAGCAAGTGTTTTTTGGGAATTGCAAGGTTTGTAGGAGAAAAGCACCCAACTCAGTTTATAATAGACCAGAGCCATCTATAAGAATAAAAAGGGTGTGTGTTTCCACACAGTAGTAACAAAACTGTAAGATCTCTGAAATGTTGCACATGGGACTGGAATGCATTACTTTTGATCAAATTAGAAGTGTCCATCTGCAGCCTGCAGTACCATCTTCAGTCACTAAGTGGAAGACTTCCCATTTTGCATTTGTTAGCACAGGAAAATAGTAGGCCAACATTCTGCAGCTGCCCTCTTCCCCACTGCTATGGGGCAGCCCGCCCTCCAGGGAGTGGAACAGCAGACCCCTCCATTAAGGGGCTGTAGCAGTGCACTTGTCAGGGACCATGACTGGGAGTGCCAGGAAGTATGCTTTCTTTCAGATGGGGCAGGCACAGTGTAAGTCTGCTTTAAAGCTTTTCTGTGTTTAACCTGTCGTAAAACTATAGCATAGTATCATTGAAACTCCCTGCTCAGTGCAGGACTCCAAAAAAATGAAACGAAATGAAATGATTGCTCTCAGATGGGTACCCAGTTGCATCTTGAATGCCTCTAGTATGGAAGAGACTGCAATCTCCCTAAGTAATTGGTTCCATTGTTGTACTGTTCTCACAGTCAGGAAATTTTCCCTGATATTAAGCATGAATCTGACTTCCTGTAACTTTAGCCCATTATTCCATGTCCTAGATTCTGGGATGATCAAGAAGAGATCCTGCCCTTCCTCTTTGTGACAACCTTTGAAGTACTTGAATAGAGCTATCATATCTCCCCCAGTCTTCTCTGGTCAAGGCTAAACATGCTGAGTTCTTTCAGTCTCTCCTTACAGGGCTTTGTTTCCAGTCCCCTGATCATCCTTGTTGCCCTCCTTTGAACCCTTTCCAGCTTGTCTGCATCTTTCTTAAACTGTGGTGCCCAGAACTGGACTCTGTACACCAAATGAGACCTAACCAGTGCTGAGTAAAAGGGGAACCAGTTCTTCATGAGATTCAGAAGTGATACAGTGATACCGCTATTAAAGCTGCCTTTAAAAAATCATCTACCCTTTTTGCAGCTGCATCACATTGTTGACATTTATTTATTTATTTTCCCTTCTATGCCACCTCATAACCCAAAGGTTCTCTCATATTCAGCATGTGATCTACAACAATTCTGCGATCCTTCTAACTTGCAGTATTTTTGAGCCAAGTATTCCCCAACTTGTAGTGATGCATTTGGTTTCTTTTTCCTAGGTGCAGAACTTGGCATTTGTCCCTACTGATTTTCATTCTGTTTTTTTCAGTCCATCACTCTAACCTGTTAATATCACCCTGAATATTCTTTCTATCTTCAAGGGTATTAGTTATCCCACCCAGTTTTGTGTCATCTGCCAATCTGATCATTCTCTGTACTTCCTCATCCAAATCATTAATAAACATGTAGAAGAGCACTGGGCCCAGCACTAAACCCTGTAGTACTCCCCTTGTTATCTCTCCCAGTTTGAGAAGATGCCACTGATGAGGATTCCTTGAGTCCATTTCTGTAGCCAGCTGTGGATCCACCAGAGAACTGTTCTGTCTAGCCCACTTTCAGCTAGTTTGCTAATCAGGATATTATGGGACATTTTGTCAAAACCTTTGCTGAAGTCAAGATATACTGTTCCCACAGCATTCCCACAGTCCATCAGGTAGGTTATCCAATCAAAAGATTAGTCTGTCAAGATTTGTTCTTGCGCAATCTATGTTGGCTTCTGGTGATCACTTCATTGTTTTCAAGCTGTTTGCAGACTGTCTGCATTAAAATCTTCTCCAGAATTTTCCCAGAGATTGATGTCAGACTGTGTAGTTCCCAGGTTCTTCTTTTTTCTAGGATGGAGTTCATTGGGTCCTGGGGATTTGAACTCATTCAGCCCACTTAGATGATTCTTGACAATCTGCCTATCAGTCTTGAGCTTCCAAGTGTTTCTTTGGCTTATACTTCCCCTTCATCAGAGATATCATAGATCTTCTTTCAGGGGAAGACTGAACCAAAGTAGGAATTGAGCACTTCTGCCTTTTCTTTGTCATCTGTCATTTTGCCATCCACACTGAGTAATTGAACCCCCATTTCTTTCCTCTGTCTTTTAATTTGGGCATTTTGAAGAAGGCTTTTTTGTTGCTTTTAGTATCCTTTGCTAGCCTCAGTTCATTCCTAGCTTTAGCCTTCCCAACATCATCCCTACAGTTCTGTGCTACCTGCCTGTATTCTTCCTTGGTAGCCTTGCCTTCCTGTCACTTCCTATACATGGCTTTTTTGGTTTTCAGATCATCTCTTTTTGTGAAGCCACATGGACTTCTTCTGTTGTCTTTTCCTTGTTGGAATTGTTTGTAACTGTGCCTGCAGAATTTCCTTTTTTAAAATTTCCCACTCATCTCGGACTCCTTTTCTCATTAGAGTCACTTGTCATGGAACGTTCCTTATCATTGTTCTGAGTTTATTAAAATTGGCTTTCCTAAAACCCAGGGTACATGTCTGGCTACATTTGGCTCGTTCTTCGTTTAGAATCAAGAATTCAAGTATGCTATGGTTAGTTCCCCGCTATAGTTCCCATAGTGCCACTAGCTCTTCCATGTTTGTTAGAATTAAGTCAGATATAATCATTCTTTTTGTTCCTTCCCCCACTTTCTTTTGGAGGAAATTATCAGCTCCCCCTGTTAGGAAACTCTTGAAGGGGATGTTTGGCCATGCTTGTCAGATATCAGGAAAATTGAGGTGCCCCATAACTATGACATCATGCCTCCTTGAAACACTGGCAATTTGCTTTTCAAAAGTACCATCCTTGTCTTTTCCTTGACTGGGTGGACAGTAACAGACTCCAACCACTGTGTTCCTTTTATTCATTGCTCCATTTATATTAATCCAGATGCTCTCTTTCAGTGAGGCTACTAAACTCATCCTCCTGTATTCCTGTGCAGAGATAAGTATCTTTAACATACAGTGCAACTCTGCCTCCCTTTCAGGTGTTGAACAGCTTATATCCTTCAATTGTTGAATTCCACTCAAGAGAGTCATCCCACCAAGTTTCAATTACACCAATCTGGGCATTAATATATAGACACTGAAGATCATGTGCTTTTTACTCTAGGTTTCTGTCTACATATTTTGGAAAACTATTGGGCATTGTTAGAGCTGCTGTCTCTGTTGTAGCGCATAAGCCTTTGTCTGTTGTTAATGGTCAGGTGTACTTATGCCTCCCTTGTAGGATTCAAGTTAAAGTCCTCCTGATGAACTTCTTTGTGCTGTGACCAAACACACTCTTTCCAGTGCTTGTAAGGTGCACCCCATCCCTTGCCAGCAGTCCATCTTCCAGGAGGTGTAGCCCATGGTCCCAGAATCCAAACCTCTCACCTCAGCACCACCTTCATAGCCCAGCATTCAGTTGGAGTATTTTCCTTTCCCTGTCTTTTCCTCTTCTGGAATCTAGAAGGATTGGAGAAAAAAACTGTCTGGGCCCCAGAGTTCTTGACTTTCCTCCCTAAAGCTTCAAAGTCTGATGTAATTTCTTCAAAGTTCTGTTTGGCAGTGTCATTTGTTCCAACATGTATGAGAAGGAAGGGATATGTGTCAGTGGGCTGTATGAGCCTTGGCAGTCTTTCAGTTGTATCACCGATCCACCCTCCAGGGAGACAACATACCTGAGTCCACAGGTCTTCCTGACATACATGTGTTTCCATCCCATACAACAGGAAGTCTCTCACAATTAACACTCTTCTTGTTCTTGCAAGCCTTGGTATCATTGCCACCGCTTGGTTAATGTTTAGCATCTTTTTCAGTGTTGCACAGGGTGACTTGCAGTTCTTCCCCTGCAGACTGCCCTCCAGTCTCATCCTTCAGTAACTGGAAGTGGTTGGAGAGTTCCACTGGTGAAGAGTGCCTTCTAGTTCTTTTGTGCCTAACTGTCTCCCTTTTCCTGGAAGTTTGCTCCTCATTTTCCCTTCCCTTGGGATTCCCCTCTTTTGCCTAAGTTTGCTGTTGCACTTCTAGCTTCTGCACTACGCTTGCAGTTTCCCTGCTCTGTCTAAAAACTGTTCATTTTCTTCCCTTGAGGATGGACACTCTCTGCTCTAGTGCTCTCACTTCTTCCTCTAAAAGGGCTACTAGCACTTGCTGCACATGTAGGCCATGTAGACTTCAGGCGAGAAATGAACATAGCACAGACTGCAGGTCACCATCGCTGGGGAGTCTTTTTGATCCATTCTTTCAGCTACCGTTTTATTCTATCTTACTGAGTGACAACCAGAGTTTTCACCTGTCTTCCCTGAAGGCTAACAGCACAGTCCTACCTGTAAAATGGGAGTGTGTTATAAGGAAGAAAACAAAGCAGGAGACCTAAGAGGGGGAAAGGAAAAAAAGTTAGGAATCTCCTCTGCCAAACTCCTGTTAGCTCTCCCTGTTCAAATGCTCTGGTCACTCTCTCCCCAGGAGTTTGATTGTTGTTATCCTAGAGTCCCTAGACTAGCTGGGACAACTTCCTCTGATCTGCTCAACTAGGAATTCGGTACCAGAATGACTCACCCACTCACACAGCTGCTGCTAGTAATTGGGCCACTCCCTTTCAGTTGTAGCTCTCAGGAGCACATGGCCTCTTTGAAGAGGCTGTTTGCTAGACAAGCCTAGGCCCATCAGCCCTTTGCCTCTGCCTGCCTCTGTCTCCTCTTCTACTACAACTCCTCTGCCAAACTCCTGTTTGCTCTCCCGGTTCACTCATTCTGCTCGCTCACTCCCCGGGAATTTGGCTGCTTTTATCCCAGACCAGCTGGGGCAGCTTCCTCTAATATGCTCAGCTAGAAGTCAGGAACCAGAATATCTATAGTATATCTGTCTTTAGGTCTAACTGTCAGCACCTAGAACATGTGCTCTTCTGAAGATGAGGAAGAACTTCCTGACCCTTACAGCATTATGCCAATGGAACCAATTGCCTAAGAAAGTTGTGGGCTCTCCCACACTAAAGGCAGTCAGGTTGCAACCGGACAGCCATCTGAGAAGGATGGCTTAACTTGCAGTCCTGCACTGAGCAGGAGGTTGGACTTGGCAGCCTTCTGGCCCCTTCCAATACTATTCTTATATGATTCATGTAACCTAGACATCTGAAACTAAGCATGCCTATTAAGTGGATCCTGGGAAAATGCACCTTAGAGTTATTTAGTTTTTAAAATGTATAGATTAATTGCAGCTATTGTAAATATATCTCTGTGTTTGGAAACTATCATGCCATCTTCAGCCACTAGGTGGAAGAGGCCCTTAACCCCTGCAGTCAATGCAGCTTAAGGTCAGGAAATTAGAGGAAGAGAGTTACATAGCTGTTAGTCCCTGCTGCTGCAGGACAATCCACACCCTAGGGAAGGCATGAAAGACACCTCCTTCATGGACCTATAGGGAGTACCATGGCAGGGGCTATATTTAGGATCTCAGCAGGTGTCTTTTCACTAAATGGGGCAGTCTGAAGGCCTCTAATTGTAACAGCTACTTAAGATTTTTGAAGGCTTTGCTGTATCATGCTAAGGGCTCTCCTAACCTACACAAAGCTGGCCCATTCACCACTACTCAGTGAAACAGTTCACTTTGGGAAGGAAGGTAGGAATTCTTTCCATGGCACCTAAAAGACCTTTTCCTTCAGCGAAAGAGTTCTACAAGTGGAATGCCACAATTAAAATACCAGTCCCCCATTGCCATCTGCCTCATTTCAGATGTTGAGGACACATGGAGGAGCGCCTCTGAATAATGAGTGAGGTATCACCAAGAAGAAAATGGAGAAGCAAAGGATGGGAATTTATGATCTGATTACATTTGTTCTGTCTGTATTTCATGGATTACCAGGCATATGTCATTCTGTCATCCATTCATTAACAGAATCAGATTTTGTGCAAACCCAGTTCTAACAATGTTTACCTCCAAAAATGCATAAACACATCCCCTAATAAAAGCATTTTCATGCATAAGTCTGTGAGGAAAAATGCAAAGGTTTGGTTTATCTTTTCATATTTCATATTTTAGACTGAATTTATGTAAAATTAAGAAAATAAAAAAGTCCCTGGAATCTGTGTTACTCTAGAAAAGCTGGTCCACTACAGAATTTGCTGGTCAGATGAAAAGAAATCTGAACTCATTTGAATCTGTTGCAGATTTCTCTGAAATCCTCAGTAAAAGGAAAACATATTTGAATGAGTTGCTTGTACTGTGGTGCTACAGTAAGATACAAGAACCACTTCATCCCAGATGAAAGCACCTTGTGCCATCTTCATGAAATATTTTCCATTTTCTAGCAGTAGCTTGAGGTCAGTTTATTTGGTTAAAGTTATGTTAATATTCCTGTCCATTCAGTTCATGCTTTATTTTACTTTTTTAGGGAGAATATGATTATAAAGTTGATGAAGAATTCTGAGAAATCATACAATTCCTTCCAGGATGAATTGGAAGATTACATTAAAGTACAAAAGGCAAGAGGATTGGAGCCGAAAACTAATTTTAGAAAACCAGAGGAAGAGTTTGACACCATGAATGATCACGGGGAAGCCTTTACTTCTGACCAAGATCTATTTTCTCAGGATATTTATGAACCAGATCAGCATTCTATTTTTTTCTCAGAAACACACACACCTTCACACCTTGTTGGAAACAGATTGTCACATTGGTCACTAGCACACAGGAATCCACTAAAACTAGGAAATACACCCGTGTTTCAGTGCAACACAGAATGTTATGCAGAAGAGCAAGTGCTTCAGTTGTCCACCTACAAACAGGACCATTGCAAACCGTCATCAGCTGAACCAAGTGATTGCAGCCAACTTGTGTCTCCCAGTAATGGCTCTAACTCTTACAAGAGAAGCCAAAAGCTGCCAAAGACTCCCAAGAAGGAAGAAGGAAGTGCAAGAGAAGGAAAAGGGAATCTTGACCAAGAATTCTTAAGGCCCAAAAGAAAACAGTACATAGAAAAAGAGTGCAGTGAATCAGGAAAGGACCTTGAAAGGAAAAGGAAAAGGAAAGATGAGGCAACTGAATGGAAATCAAAGCATAGTAAAGATAAAAGTAATAAAGAGGTTTCTTCTGAAAAGGAAAGCAGAAGACACAAGAAGGAGAAAAAGAAGGCTGAAGACAGCAGACCAACTGAGGAGGAGATGCTGTGGAATGAATCTATCCTGGGATACTAACTGAATGTTTTGTAATGAATTGTTATGTTAATTTAGATTCTGAACCATGTTGCACTTTTATATTTCAGTTACTGGATATTTGTTTTAAATCAGTCCTTCACAAATAATGGGCAATGGGTTACAGCTCTCTCTGCCCTCCTGCCACAAGTACTGTGAGCCCTGTAATGAAAAACAGAAGCATAATAACAAAAAATGCAGCTACCTAGATTTGCTTCCCTGCTGCATATCTCCTAGCCGCTTGAAGAACCAGCTGAGAAACACTGGCTTAATTGATCACACAATTAACAATTGGAAACTGCCTGTAGAGCTTTGACTATGGGGTAGTATAGATATGAAATGAAATGAGAGGATGCAATGAAATGGTAATGGCTGAATTGCCTTTTATAAGCTACCACGTCTAATCTGCATTCCAGGTTTGTCTTTGTGAGTTCTACAGAATTTTCTGGATGCGAAACTGGAGGGATCAGATTCTAGACCGACTGTTTTTGAGTCTCATAATGATTTTGTGCAAGTTAGAAACATGGAAACATAGTCAGAAGGGGTCTCCTGGGTCATCTACTCTGACTCCTGGCACAAGCCAGCTCCACTTATGTAATGTCCAACATGTGGGTGTCCAGTCTTTCCTTGAACCTCCCATGGAAGCCCATTCCATATCCTAGGGGTCCTTGCCATAAGGAACTAACTTCCTGACATCCAACCTAAAACCCAGTTCCTTTGGCTTTGCCTCATTGGATTGTGTCCTTCCCTTCACCACAGAGGAGAACAGGTCATGACCCTTCACTATGTGACACCCCTTCACATACCTGTATGTCACTATAACATACCTTCAGAGTCTCCTCCAAGCTGAAAAAGACCCAGTTCCCACAATCTCATCTCATATAACATCCCCCACAATCCAGCTACCATCCTTGTGACCCTGATTTCAACCTTGCTATGTCCCTCTTGTAATGTGGAGCCCAGAATTGGACGCAGTTCTCCAGTTGTGGGTGCACCAGAATCTTAAGGAATGACAGCAGACTTCACTTGATCGGGAAGCCACACCTCTGGCTATAAGTCCAAGGGTGGCATTTGCCCTCTTAGCCGCAGCATCAGACTGCTGGCTCATGTTTAGTCTGCTGTCTGTACCCTGAATTTGAACAGCAGAGTGGTTATGCCCTCCTCCAGGTCATTGATGAAAAGGTTGAACAGAATTGGGCCCAGAACCAAGCCCTGGAGGACTCTGTTCATCACTGGTCGCCATCCTGATGACTTCCCACTGATAGTTACCCTCTGCCTAAACTTCATCAGTCATGCCCTAACCCACTGGGCAGTGTATCAATGTATCCTGAAGCTCATCAATTTCTCAACCAGGATATCATGCAGCACCTTGTCAAAGACCCTGCTGAAATTCATGTAAACCACATCCAAGACATCCTCACCACATCTAGCCACCCTGAAACCTAATTGTAGAACTCCACAAGGTTTGCCTGCCAGAACCTATTTTTGTGGAAGCTGTGTTGCATGGCTGCCAACCTCCCTTCCCTATCCAGGGTTTCTAGAACTCTCCCTATTATGAGCTTTTCCATCATCTTTCCCAGAATGGACATAAGGCTAACCAGCCTGTAATTCTCCTTGTCCCCTCTGCTACCCTTTTTGAAGATTGAGACCACTGATGCCATCCTCCAATCCTCCAGAATTTCTCCCATTTTCCATGAGGCCTGAGGCTGAGGATAGGAGAGTACCTCTGCCAATTCCCAAAGTACCCTCAGGTGGTGGATGATGTACAGATCAGGAGAGCCCTGGATGGGAGTGATCACTCCATTCTATATTTCGAGATCAGGGATGAGTGGTAGATCAAGTACTAGGAGAAAAGACTTCACAAGGGGCCAACTTTGGTCAATTGAAAGCTGGTCTGGGAAAATTATCCTGGGAGAAGGTACTGGAAGGCAAGGGAGTTCAGGAGGGGTGGATGGCACTCAAAAGGGAGGTCTTGGAGGCTCAAGCCTTAATGATACTGCTGATCAGCAAAATGGGGAAGCACAGGAGGGCACCACCATGGATGTGAAGAGAGGTGTTCAGACTGATTAGAAGTAAAAGGGACCGCCACAGGAAATGGACAATGGGGCAAGTGTGCAAAAAGGCAGACTGGGAGGAGGTGGCTTGATGCAGACTCTTTGATAGGCTAAAACTGATTAAAAGCTCTGAGATTTGCAAAGAATGTCAAGGGAGACAAAAAGGGCTTCTATTCTTATGCAGATCATAAGAGTAACTGAAGACAGGGTGGGACTGCTTAAAAGAGGGGATCTGGTAAATGATGTAAGGGAACAGGCACAGATGTTAAATCTTTGTTTAGCTACTTTATTCTCGCCAAAGCTGGTTGGGGGAAATGTGGGGTGGGGGCAAATTAGAGTCACTTCCTTAGAAGCTGAGGTGCTGCTTACATTATGAAGCGCTTCCTGCTTTTCCCCCACACCCCTAGCGTTGGTCAGCTCTTTCCTGCAAGCCCCATTCCCTAGCTCCCCATGCCTCCACCTTCCTCTCATCCTCCCTGGCACAGCAGGAACCCTCAAGTGCAGTTGTCATACAACCCTCTGCAGACCCTGCATCACCCTTCCCCTGAGACCCTAATCCTGTTCCTTCACCTAACCAGTCCTGCCTGGTTTCTGGGGTCCCAGGCCCGGCCCACCCCCACCCCCGATTAGTTTAAAGCTCTCTGGAAATAGCTCATTGCAGCATTCCCGAAGGTCCTTTGACCTATTTTGGTAAAGTGCACCCCCATCCCTCAGCCGTTCCAGTGCCATGGTCAAGGAACCTGAAGCATTCCCCCTGACACCATGCCCTCAGCCAGTCCCTTGTCTCCACAACCCTCCTTTCCCTGGTTGGTCCAAATCCACGGACAGGCAAGAGAGAGGAAAAAGCTGCTTGGGCGTTCACGCCCTTGAGTTTCCTGCCCATAGCCTCGAAGTTCTGACTGATCCCACCCGTCCCCCACCTGGCTATATCATTCGTCCACACATGGAGCACCAGAAGCAGCTGTTGACCTTCCGAGGGAAAAGGATGCACCAGTCTGTCCATCACACTCCAGATGCGCGCGCCTGGCAGACAGCAGACTTCCTTCACCTCAAGATCTGGCCGGCACATCTCCACCTTGGTACCCCTTAGTAAGGAGTCCTGATGACAATAACTCACCTTCCCCTTCTGCCTGCAGAGATAGGGAGCATGTCTCAGCAGGCAACTCTCTGGCAGTGGCTCCTGGGCCATGCCTGACCCTAGGCTGGTCTGCCTGGTCCCCTGAGGGACCCATTGCCTCAACCTGCTCAAGCAGAAAAAAACCAGTTTCTCAGCCTCAGCTTTGTGCCAGGAGTCAGAGAGGGTGGTATCCACCTCCACCTCCTGTGGGTGACATGTCTCCATGCCTCTCCAGCTGGTTCACTGGTGGCACCTCCCTCTTCTTCCTGTCTGGAATGGAGCTGTTCCCAGTTGGCCTGGCGGTCCTCCTGGGCAGTGCCTAGGGACTGCTCCTCCTCTTATTTCCCTCAGAGAGGTGATGGCATCATCTAGACCCTTCTAGAGAACCCTTCCCTACAGGAAGTGTATCCTGGCTTCTCCTGGAGGAAGTAGGCAAACATGGCACAGGTACCACAAGTAACTGCAACACTTGTCACTCCTGCCTTGGCCCTCTCCTGGTCCAGCATAGCCAAGCTAGCCTTATGCCTATTCACCCCAGGTTTGTCCTATACTACTCCCACTCAAGGCTGGATACCCTCTTTCCTTAGAGGAAACAAAGTCTCCAGGGAAGAGAGTCCCCAGGCAACCCCGGCCACAACTAAGGGACGCAATGTCAGCATCCGGGGTGTGAGCGGCTGACATGAAGACAAGAGCACCAGGACCTGGGCAACCAGGGTGCAGCACAAGGGTCAGTCCAAGAGCACAATCACACAATCCAAAGGTCTGAGCTGGGGGTTACCACACTGGACAGTCCATTCAAGAAGAAAGTGTGATCAGACAGGCCAGGTGTCAGAGAACCAGGAAGACAAGCCAAAGGGCAGGGGCAGAGGAGAAGAGCCAGTTCTTAGAAGAGAAGAGCTTTTTTTCCCAGGGCTCAAGGATGGAGCTCATGAGAGCCCTGGCAGCAGCAGTAGATTGGGGTAGTAATCCTGCAACTACCAGGGCTGCTGTGCTAGCCCTCAACCAGCAGAGGGAGACCTGAAGCTGCCGCAAGTCTTGGCACCCAAGCAAGAGACGATGCCCTTGTTGTATCACCCTTAGTGTGTCCCTTGTCAGCTGCTCCTGCCCTAAAATAGGCCTTGTGGGTGCTGAGTCCCACCACGCTCACCTCACGAGAGTCATGTGCCTTTCCCTGGTTGCCTTGCTGCTCTCCCATGTGAGCCCACCAGCACTCACTCGGCTTCTCCAGCCCAGCTCACAGTCCTGCTGCTGCTCCTGCACCGCACCACTGCCAAGATTCAAAAGCAATAAAATTAACTTGTAAAGCAGTACATCCACTATAGTAATTGCAATTTTTATCTTCCATACTTAGCTGCACAACAATGACCCTATGAGGTAGGTTAGGCTCAGATTCCATGTCTGGTCCAAAGGCACACAGTGAGCTTTCCAGCTGAGCGGGGACTAGAACCCAGATCTCATGGGTGTCCAGTACAGCATGCTGACCACTGCACCACAGAAGTTCTCTGCATTAATTTGGCTATCCTGCTTAACTTTTTGCCATATGCCAATGTTGTTTTTATAAAATGTAAAGAATGGCAGAATCAATTTCTGCAAATCTGAAAGATCTGAAATCAGGAGGTAATCTGATTTCCAAGTTTCACTAAAGCTAAGCAAAGGTTGCACAGCATGTGCTCCCTCTGTCCTGGCCAGTTTGTGCTGTCTGTGAGCACAGTCAGCCTCTACAGCACGAACTCTGGAATCCTTTCCATTTTCAGCCAGAGGAAGACAGATCACAGTTCATCAGCACTTCTGCACACCCAGCAAAAGTCTGGTGGAGGATGGTGAGTCAATGTATTCCACGATGTTGGGCAAATTCAGATAAATCCTGGCAGAAAAGGGTTGCTTATATGTTCCTTTGTGTTATAAAATCAAATCTGCACCCCTTTCTCAGAAAGCACCCCATTTCCAAGCTGTTTGGCTTTTGTTGTCAGTTTAAGAATTGGGAACTGATAGCTTGCCTAGAGGCTGCCAGGGCTATTGTTTTGCTGATAAGTAAGAACTCATGAGGCTGCAAGGTTAACAGCATTGCAAAGCACCCTCATTTGCATGCCAAGACCCACAATAATCCCTGTGCCTCAGTGATTTTTAATATCCTGCAATCAAATGCCATTCTACTGAGCCTCCTCTGCAGACCTCTCACCTTCTTCTGGCTGTGTTCATCTTGTTTTGTCATCAACTGCCCAACTGCTGGGCCCATGTGACTCAGAATCTATAAAATACTCTGTATATGTTCTAAAAGCTTGTAGTTGGCGGTGGAGACCACTACCCAGTAG